CCTCTGTTAGCCTTCAGCTGAGATTGTGCTTTAGAAACATTTTTTTCCCACTGCTGCTCATAAAGAGCATCTGGAGGACAAGCCCAAGTGCTCGTGCTGCTGTTGCCCATGGCTCGGGGTGAGATTAGTTCCATCCAGGTTTCCCAGGCGAGATGCCCCAGAGCAGCCGTTGAAGAACCTGCTTTGCCGGTTGGTTCCTGAGAGTCCGCAGCAGATTAAAGATTAGGAGTTGAGATTTGGGAAGTCACAGCCTGGGCTCAGCTAGGCAAGTGCTGCAAACATCCCTGTTTCTTTGCTTTCCAGTCCTGTGCGATCGCTTACTAAACCCCCAGATGCTGGCAGAATACTCAGTTAATGGGTGGGGATCAAAAACAAAGCTCAAAATACATATTCCTTTCGGGTTGCTTTAAAACTAGCCGGTAGAGTTGTTCCAGGAAGGTTCTGGCCCTGTGCCCCATTTTCCTGGCCTCCTCCTATACCAGTAAGTAAAGAAGAGCCAGGCACTGGTGCCTGTGGTGTCCCACACCACGTACCATCTTTCCTCTGCTGGTGTCCAAAGGGAAGGAGACTAAAACCCAACCACTCAGAACAGCTAAAACTGGCAAACACTTGCATGATAGCATGGGTTCATCTTTGCCTTTGCTTTTTTGTTCTTGGGAGAAGGGCGTTGCCCCTGGGTCAGCTGCAGCCCTTGTCACAAGACTTTCGGAGAGTCCTGGGTCGCCAGCAAACGCCCCGTGGGAAATAACAGCCACGTCGTTCCCAGAAAATTGCAAACCACCAGTAATTGCCTTACGCTGGATAAATTGTTGTTTGAGTACGCGTCAGCGGCGCAATTTGAGTGCTTAGCATAAGTCAATATAATTAACTCAGTAGTCCTATCTGGGTTTATTTAATGCAGTTAAATTAAGGTGATCGGTTATTAGGAATAGATGTCAATTGCTGCTTTCGTTCTCCTACACAAGTTAATGAAACCCCAGCAGGGCTACAGGCCTGGGGAGGAGTGGCTGGAGAGCTGCCGGTCAGAGAGGGACTGGGGGGGTGAGAATGAGCCAGAGTGTGCCCAGGGGGCCAAGGAGGGCAACGGCATCCTGGCTGGTGTCAGCACTGGCGTGGCCAGCAGGGCCAGGGAAGGGATCTGAGCCCTGGGCTCGGCACTGGGGAGGCCGCCCCTCGCTGAGGGGGTTCAGTGTTGGGCCCCTCACCCCAAAAAGGCCATTGAGTGACTCGAGCGTGGCCAGAGAAGGGCAACGGAGCTGGGGCAGGGTCTGGAGCACAGGTCTGCTGGGGAGCGGCTGGGGGAACTGGGGGG